AGCAAAACATGTCAGATGAAAGTTGTTGGGTATGCAGGGGGACACACTCGATGTAGATGGAATTTATGTTTCCGTTTATGCTTTTATGCTGCAACCATGAACTCAGTTTTTTCAAATGGTAACATAATTTTTGACTCCCTGAAAGTTGTGCATCTTATTGAGACGAATCCAACCATATTCTATTGTTCAATTTTCTCATCGATATTCTATGAAATATCGCAAGGAAATAGACCAAAAATGCGATCATCTTTATTTAAGCGCTCCTACATGTTCTGTTCCATAAGTGGCACATGTGTGATCATTTAGGTCCAGATAATAGTCATTGCAAGAGATGTTTGATGTTGCCGCCATTCGTACCGAGGCACAGATCCAGCCGACGTCGTAAGTTTCCAAGAACAGACTGAGAAACTTCAGGTGGGATGTTCGCAATGGCATCTCTGATGCGTCCTTGCAAATCTACGGGTGTTGTTGGACGATTGATGTAAACCACATCCTTGATGTGAACCAAGTATTTACTTGGTGAATAAACCATTGTGAATCACGACAGGTACTCAGAAGATGGACGATGTAAACTGAATCGAGGCGATTGTCAAACTGATGAACAATGGATAATAACAACCCTATGCGGAAACCGTACTTGCTTACATAGTTGGAGGCCACTTGACTTTACTTCATAAACTGCTGTATTAGTAAGAAAACAACATCCTAGCGCCCAAATGAGCTGTGGAAGTCTGAATTAAGATAATTTCATTTTGGTCTATTTCCGTGCAATATATCATAGAAAATCGATGAAATAATGACAAAATAGAATATGGTTAAATTCGTCTCGAAGAGGTGCACAATGTTCTGGGGGTCAAAAATTATGTTACCATTTGAAAAAACTGACTTCATACTTGCAGCATAAAAACATCAACTTCGGGAGCATAAATTTCATCTGCACCGAGTGTCCCCTTCCATACCCAACAACATTCACCTCACATGTTTTGCTGTATGACTCGTCTCTGGAAAGGGACTAGCCCGATAAGCATGATGAATCTGCCCCCAGCGAATTTCAAGTCGGAAATTTTTTCACGTATTCACCACCTAAAAAAACAATTCTGTATAAAATTTCAGATCATTATATCGGTCCCCTGATTTTTTATGCTCAAAAAACTTTTTTTCCATTTTATTTTTTTTCGAGTACTTCAGAGCTACTTAAAAATCTTAAAAAATTCTGAAAAATCCAAAACATATCAAAATTGAGGGGAAAAATGTTTAATTGATTTTTAATTGTTAAATAATATTTTTGATCGACACTTCTTTCCTTTAAAAAATCATTCTCATAGGTGAAGATTTTTTTGACCACTTTGACCAAAATTGACGAGATTCTAGCCTTAATTACCCACATTTTGAGAAAAAAAAAGTTTGAAAGTTCCACCTGCAACACATTTAAAAAAAATAATAATATCAAATTCTTGCATTTTTTCATAGAAATCCTTCCGTTAATCATCCCTACAATTCTGTTAATTGATCACTATATTCAATCTAGTATTGTGGCACATTATACTTTTGAAGGAGAGCAACTGCTGGGCAAAATCGCTAGCAAAGCAATAAAACGATTTGAGTTGACTGAGTTCTTAGCTGAGTTTCCAGGCAATATCTCCGAATCTAAGAGAGATAGGAAAATTTTTGTAGAGACCCTTCTTGTAACTTTTGATTCGCTCTACAAGAGAGATTATGAGAAACAAATTGGTATCTGTCTGACATTCCGAGATATTCATTGAAAATTAACCAATACCAAAATTGGCTTGAACCGTTTTGCTGTTATGCTACTGAAATGGAACGCAAGGTATGATGGTATCTCGAGTCAGAATAAAAGTCCTATTTCAATTCCGATTTTTCTCAAAATTGAATTCGGAAAGCTCCAAGGAAATCAGTTGAATAAGCATCAAACATCATGTGTAATCTCTACCATGAAACAAATCTGGTAATTCATATATAAAATTAAGAATCCGTAGCGGGTCCCAAAAGTGCAGAGATACCACAAATCTTTCACTCCTGAGAAATTGAATCGAGAAGAGAAGAGGCCAGGCAGGTTGTGGACAGAACGTATTATGCCAATCGTCACGGGAATTGAGCAGATCAAACACACATTTGATATTATCAAATTCGTAATCAAAACCTTACCATCTCCTGGTGAATAGTGAGTAAAAAATACCATTCAATTATCGGAAATTAGGGAACTAAGTAGAATTAACGTCCACTTGTCAGTTGATTAAAATTGAGAAAATCAAAATGTCAAGGAAAGACTTCGATAGGAGTCATTTCAGATTCGACTATTCTGATTATATATTTAATAATAATCCAATAGCTTATCGCGTTCACTTTGGCCTATACGATACTTTCAATCATTTTGCTCATCCCTTCCATTTGAAACTTCTGATAATTTAACTCTTCTGATCATTTCGCTGGTTCCTTCTTCTCATTTTTTAAGCTTGCCTGATTTTTACAAAGAAGTATGAAACCAACTTGGAAATTTTAATGGAAAAAATCAATCTATAATTTGAAATTATCAATTTCTGAGAATCAATGATTTGATTTACAATGTTTGCCCTCTAATTGAGCTATATTGTTTGATTGATTCGATTCCTTCGAGGTTTCCTGAACCTGAATTTGTTAAAAAAGAAAATTTACATAGGAATCTACTTCGCTTCAGGGTTCCATCATAATCTGCATTCCATTTCAATAGGGGAGCGGTAAAACGATTTAAGCCGATTTTATTATTGGTCAGTTCTCAATGAATATCTCGGAATCTAACGCAGATATCCATTGTTTTCTCATAACCTTTTTTGTAGAGCGAATCGAGAGTCATAAATAGATTGTTACCAAAATTTCTTTGGAGCTTTTTGAACTCAAATTTGGTACAAATTGAAATTGGACTTGTTTCACTTCAGTAGCGTAGCAGCAAAACGGTTCAAGCCGATTTTGGAATTGATTAGTTTTCAATTGATATCTCGGAATCTAAAGCAGATACCATTTTTTNGAATCGAGAGTCATAAATAGATTGTTACCAAAATTTCTTTGGAGCTTTTTGAACTCAAATTTGGTACAAATTGAAATTGGACTTGTTTCACTTCAGTAGCGTAGCAGCAAAACGGTTCAAGCCGATGTTGGAATTAATTAATTTTCAATTGATATCGCGGAATCTAATGCAGATGCGATTTTTTTATATAACCTTTTTTATAGAGCCAATCAAGAGTTACAAAAAAGATTTGTTGAGATTGAAGCTAAATTGAGATGCCGGTTGGGGAAAAGTGGAATTGTGGAAGGAGGTGGAAAATTAAAACACGCGGAATTATAAAACCACACTGTTGATGTACTTTATTGTGGAATAACCCACGCGCCTTGATAAATTAATAATGTTACACTGTTGAGTTGCTCGACAAAGTCAATTAAATGATTTGAAAATGCACTGCACTTGAGATTCTCTCGATATTGAACTTGACGATTGACTCAAAATAATTGATAGTTAACTCGGAATTAATTGATAATAGAATTGAATTAAATAGAGACGCTGTACGAAGCGCTAGACTCAAACGTATCGCGTTGATGTACTCCGGTGATGTACTCGATTGAGCGGTTACGGCGATACAGTACTGTGATTAGAGTGACTCTCTCGGTGGCTAGAGCGATACTACTGACTTTTTCGGGGATTTTCTTCGTAGTTGACTGTGACCCCGAAGGGTCCCGAAGTTTCTCGAGATTTTCGTTGAGCCCGGTGACCGTTTGACTAGTTTGAATAGCTGAATTTCAAACAAGATTTTCACAAAAATTTCGCTATCTCTCTTAGATTCGAAGATATTGTCTGGAAACAGCCAACAACCCAGTCAACTCAAATCGTTTTACCGCTTCGCTAGCGATTTTGCCCAGCACTTGCTCTCCTTCAAAAGTATGATGTGCCACAATACTAGATTAGATATAATAATCAATTAACAGACCTGTAGGGATGATTAACGGGAGGATTTTCATGAAAAAATGCAAAAATTTGACGTTTTTATTTTTTTTGAATGTGTTGCAGGTGGAATATTCGAACTTTTTTTCTCTTAAAATGTGGAGAATTGAGGCTAGAATCTCGTCAATTTTCGTCAAAGTAGTAGAAAAATCTTTACTTATGAGAATAATTTTTTAAAAGAAAGAAGTGTCGATTAAACATATTATTTAACAATTAAAAATCGATTAAAAATTTTCTCCTTCAATTTTGATATGTTTTTGATTTTCCAGAATTTTTTCAGATTTTTAAGTAGCTTTGAAGTACTGAAAAAAAATAAAATCGAAAAAAGTTTTTTAAGGATAAAAAATCAGGGGATCGATATAATGATCTGAAATTTTACAAACAATGGTTTTTTTGGGTGGTGAATATTTGAAAAAATTGCCGCCTTGAAATTCGCTGGGGGCAGATTCACCATGCTTATCCGGCTAGATCCTTTTCACCTGTCCTGTTTCAAATAGAACACCCTGTATAATCGATCTTCAATGTATGAGATATCTCACTCCAATAGCCCGCGACTTTTGAAACTCATAGTAGACACTTCTTAGAAAAAAAACACCTCAATGTTTTCGATTGTTCTAGAACGCCGAGTCAAGAATTTTTTTTTTTTATTGTTACTTTACATCGCTTTGACTCGGTTTAAATGGTTAGATTGCACCATTCTACCCGGCCGGGATTTGAACTCGGAACCTTTCGCATGTGAGGCAACGAACTTACCAACTGCGTCAAGCCGGGTTCAAGAAAATTTGAGGGTTTTCCGAAGAAATTGAAAAAATTCTGGGGTGATTTAGAAAAGGAATTCTCAACAATCCTCGTATTCAATTTCTTTCATTGTGTCTGGGCGAAACCGGGCCATATAGCTAATTTGAAAATATTTCAGACTATGAAAATAAAATCAAAGTAATATTCAAGATTACATTCGAAAGATGACAGAACTGGGCCTTAACTCAAGGAACATAATATTTTAACTTACCATATAAATGCCAACAATAAGGCCAAAGAGACCAATTGCAGAACCAAAAATTTCTACAATGAGAATTTTAACGAACAAAGCTGAATTAGCAGCATCAGACAGTGCAGCTCCTGAGCCAACAATTCCTACAGCTATACCACAGAACAGATTGACGAGGCCAACTGCTAAACCAGCACCAAACATTAAGTAACCAGACAGCCAGTTGTGGCCTCTTATGTCTGGATCATCCATTGCTTTCTGCCAGGAAAAGTCCTCAAGCCCCTGGGAGAGTACAATCGCAGTGATGAGTCCATAAATGGCAACAGCCTCACAGAAAATGACTGAGATTAAATTTTTGGTTTTGATGCGAGGTGCCTTTACACCACCGCCCACAATTGATGTTCCTGTGGTATGAATACCCCTGTAAATAATTCGTTTCAATAAATGTTTTTAAATGAAATTTTTTTAGAAAATTTTCAAGATTATTTCTCTGAATCTATACATTGAAACAATGCAGATACTATTTCTTCGACTTCTTGCCAAGCATATCCCTTGAGATTGAATAAAAAAATGTCAAAAATAATTGTTTTTGGCATTGTGCATTCGTCGGAGGCGAGTGCTCACCTCTCATCAGTTGAAAAGAACTTTTTTTCATCAAACTGTACTTAACCCTCCTGAACTGGCTTAATAAGAACAGCTCCGCTCTTTTCAGAATTTGATTTTTCAATGAAATGGGATTGAATAAAAATCTGGAAAAATTACAAAGTCACCTATATTGAATGTACCGGACATTTTTACTTCAGATATACTCGCATTGATCAAGGACATCCAAGTAGTTCGGGGATTAGGAGGGGGGTCCCTTTTCAGAAATACAATTTACAGAACTTTATACACTTTTCAGAGTTTATAAAATAGACTAAGAGTATTTTTTGGACGTAATATCAAACGTAGTTTTCTAACAATTTTTCAAGAAAATGACTTTTGAAAATAGTATATTTCGATATGAGTGCGACGGAATTTTCACGAGTGTAAAGTTCGAGTGCCAATTACATGAGCTGGCAATTCCCGCCTCACATGTGTCAAACAATATTTTTTGACAGTGATGTTATGTTCTGCGAGTGGCCGAACTGTGCCTTTTTACAAGTAAAGGGAAAGAGTCTTCATTTACTTTTCGTTTACGAGTAAACGAAAAAGTACTTTTTGGCAGGAGGTGATGGGAACAGTAGTGTCAGAAATGAAATTTATGTATTAAATTATGCTCATAAACAGCTATATCCTTCTACCCTCAATGCAATCATTCATATTCTTGAAGCTTTTTTTGGTGCACACCATCGGATGTGAGTTTGTTCATTGTATTCCCTAGTGTCTTCGAGACATTGAAAAACACATACTACCGGACCGACAATTGCAAATAATCGAATCAAAAGATATTTGATTGATACAGCACCCACATTAGGTGGTTTGAATCTGTGCGATCCTAACGTCTGGCAACGGTGCGTTCGAGGGAGCTTCGGACGAATTAACGAAATGTCGTAGAACATATATGCAGTGTTGCCGTATAATCATTAGAGGTTAGACCAACAAGAGTCAGTTTCGCACTAAATCAATTTTCATAAATTCATAAATTTCATAAAAATTTATTCAACAATGACAAGCCTGAAAAAGTATGGAGATCGCAAGATTTTGGGCACTAGTTAATTGTAAGTGGCTTTGAGAATACAAATAGAGGGTGTTTGAAACTTTTGAGTCACCATGTTCGGTTTTCCACCGAATATTTATTCCTCACACATACGCACACACTCACGCACACTCACTCCACTCGCATGCGTGCATGACCTACGCACAGTTGACCGACGTACACGCCTCAAATGACCAGTGGCCTCACACCTCTGACACCTGAGGCTCCACTTGATGGACAGGTGTCCAGTGAACGCCCCCATTTAAATTGGGTCACGTTCACACCTCTGGATTTTCATCACCTGCCACCTAATGGCCTATAAACCTTTCTCATTTGCATACTGCCCGTTGACTAGTGCACGCGTTTTTTGCTCTTTTCTTTCACTTGACGCTTTGGAAATTGCTCTGCTCCTTTATTAATTGCTCATCGTTTCTAAACTGTTAAAGCTGATCCGCGCATAACTATTGTTCTTCTCTTTTTGTTAACAGTGTAAATAATTGATCTAAATTCCTGATCTTTTTTATAATTAAATTGACTGTGTTGACCAACATACACGTGTTGTGTTTCCTGGACCTTCTCACGCTCCCGCTAAAATCCATTAATATCTCGACCATTGCAGGAATATTTCCGCAGATCCAGATCCAGCATCGAACACACCATTAGAAGAAAATAGCAGGAAGAGTAAATAGGACAGCAGAAATAAAAACATTTATTTTATTTCTGCATTTTTTTTATTTAGTGTTACGTCGGGACGCCGCAGAAATTTTTTTTTTTAATCAAAATCTCATTTTTCAAATCGAAACGTTTCGAGAGTTTCGAATTTTTTTCAACCAATATTATACCGATCATCTTATATCCGGTAAGACAATGGGTGGCAAGAATCAGGCGATCAACCTGATTCTTCAGGTGTCATCGAGCTGGGTTCACCTTCCACCCGGGCGGTCGATGGACTCCGAGTTCTAGTGACTCAAAGAGAGTTATATAATCAATTCTTATATAACTCTCCCAAAAAAAATTCATAATTTCCTGAAAATTAAAATTTTATCCTGGTTATTCACCTAAAAAAAAAAAGAAATAGATCGAAATTCCTGAAAATAAAACATAATGAGATTTTTGGATTCTTTCAAATCCAAAAACCTCCATCAAAATATTTTCGCGTGTATTCCAATGCTGTACGACAATTCAAGTTGTCGCCGGGCGTGTTATCTGAAGAGTTTCAGATGACCACGGCATGGCAACGACGCATCGCATTCCTCACAGACCTCACAACAAGCCTCTCTTTGATTCCCTCCCCTTCCCTCTCCTGCCTAACGCGCCATTAAACTGTAGCGCGACATTTCGCCTGTGTTTCTTCTTTCCTTCTTCACCTCCCCTCCCCCTTTTTCTCACTTACTTAATACGCCACGGATATTACGTACACTTTCCCTCTCTTCCGGACTCTTAGGGGCACACGTCTTGTTATCCCCACCCTTTAAAATTAGTAACCCCCGACACATAGAACCGATTCCCCTCTTCCGGCTTTCTTCCCATTCTATCCCGATGTTTCAATATGCTGATTCCTTCCGGCGAATCAGAATGCCCTAATTTCTCCTTCTGACACACATACTAATGAGATGCGTGAACGAATTAAACAACTACCACCATCAACGGAAAAATGAAAAAAACCATCACCCTAAGGAGTCAGCCATCAGTCCTGGATCTTCAAGCAGCAAGTGAAAAACCAAGTGGAAAACTATAGCGGCTAATTATATCCAAATTTTCATTATTATTATTAACGTCGATTTTTAGATTGTCGAATTTGAGAATTGCAAATCGTAAATTCAGTGATTTTTCTAAAATTCAACTCGTAAATTCAGTGATTTTTCTAAAAATCAACTCGTAAATTCAGTGATTTTTCTAAAAATCAACTCGTAAATTCAGTGATTTTTCCTTAGAAAATCAAATCATAAATTCAGTGATTTTTCTTCTAAAAATCACATCAAAAATTTAATAACTTTTCCCTTGAAAATCAAATCGTAAATTCAATAATTTTTCCCTTGAAAATGAACTCATAAATTCAGTGATTTTTCTTCTAAAAATCAACTCGTAAATTCAGTGATTTTTCCTTTGAAAATCAAATCATAAATTCAGTGATTTTTCCTCTAAAACGTCGAATTAAAAATTATTCACTCACTTAAAGAAATCATCGACAATCTATAAATCGAATAAATAAATAAATAAAAGAAAGAACGGAAAATATGTTAAATCTCGATTTCAAATTCAGACATTTCTATTAAATATTTTCATTTTTCGAATTATCAGCATGAATATCCAGTCATTCAATCAAAATAAATATTAACGTCATTGAAGATTAATATTGATTGCTTTGTAATCTATCCATAAACCTCACTAATTGAATTGTGTTTTTTAGGAAACAAGGAAGTCATCAGAATAATCAGGATCCAGCCAAAACTCTTCTCATTGGACTCATCGATCCAGCCAAAATCCTTCCCATTGGACTCATCAATCCAGTTAAAAGAAAATATTCATTTATAATTTTTACTTCAGCAAAGTGAGTCAAAATTCATACATTTTTTTTCTTTTACTGTCTTCATTTTGAGAATCTGAAGAAGCAGATTCAGCTTTTCTCAATTCGAAAATTGTGAAATATAATTGTTTGAGAATCCAATCTCAAATCCCAATTTTTTTTTTCAATCAGAAATAATATTTGTCTGAAGATCGAATCTAAGGTTCAGTTTTGTCAATTTAAGAATTGATTTCACTTCGAAAATAATTTTTCGTGAATATTTTCACACTTAAGGATTTCTTTTAATTTGCGAATATTTCTTCATGAATATTTATCAATTTAGAAATTGATTTTACTTCGAAAATAAGTTTTCGTGAATATTTCTCATATTTAAGGATTTCTTTCGATTTAAAGATATTCCCTCATGAATGTTCTTTATTTTTACGGGTTAAACAGAATAAAATAAACTTGTGAAGATGACCAAATTTTAAAGATAGATTTTAAGAAAAAGGACTATTACCTTTTCATTTGGAATAGTTGATTATGATAATCATTTATGCGTTTAATCCCGAATGTTTGTAGATTGAATATCTCTTCAATAGTTTTTCTTATTATTGTGTTTCGATCGGACTATAATTGTACATCAATTATTGTTATCAGTTCAAAGATTTCTAATTGTGAAGGAAGGAATTTTGTCTATTTAAAAAATTTTACTCTATTTTTGGAATCTATGAAAGCTCTTGTTTTTAAATTTCTATCCAAATTAAATTAATGTTAAAAACTCCAAATGTCTTATTATTTCTAGAATAAGTTGAAAGTCGTCCCACCTATCCCGAGCTTTTTCCGAAAGGTAGGCTCAAAACAGGTAAAAATTCTTTATATGTTGTGATTTTATTGAGATTATTTTAATAAAATCTTGGCAAAATCATGACGTAACATTAGGGATTAGTAATGTATGGATACTCGTAAAATTATTGATCCCATTAAAATCCATCGTAGTTTCAGTGGTGAAAAAAACTCGATTCAAATTTTGAATCCGTAATATTTCGACTTTTCCGGGCATGTAAAAAATTCCATAAAAAGTTCTAAGAAGAAATTCCTATGTTGCAAAATGTACATAGATGATGCTGATCATTTACGATTTTTGAAAAAATTTCATAAGTCTAGTGCTTTCCCTAGATAAATCTCTTATTTTGTCATTAGAATTGCACAGGAATTCTATTGGTTTTCTATTACA